AAAATTTTTGACTATTTCTTGACGTGTTCAAAAGTCAAAATTTTGAATTAATTATGAAAAATTGTGGATGTTTGCGATAGTGTTATAAATTATGGAAGACAAGAACAAAAAGAAGAGGGGTACGAATGCCACTGAAAGGCAAAAAAAACTTCTTGTGGAGTATGTAAAAAGCAAGCCACAGCTAATCTGTGGCAAGCAGACGCAAAGCTACACCAAAAAGGACGCTCAAAATGACTGGGAGAGTATATCCCGAATTTTGAATAGCAATCCCGGAGCCATTAAAGACTGTACTGGATGGCGTAAAGTAAGTAGAAAAAAATATTCTGTGAATGTTATGGATATAATTTTCAATGTTTTGTTAGATGTGGCATGATCTACGGTCGCGAACCAAATCGAAAGAGGCCAAAAATAGGATGGCGTTTGGAGGTACTGGTGGTGGGCCCCTAAATGATGAGACGCTAACCAATGTAGAAGAAGACATCCTTGATATTATAAAAAAAGTATCTATCGAAGGACATGATGTAGCAGAATCTTCAGTAGGGTTTGAATTTAATGTTGCTGAACCCGTGTTGATTTCCTTCGACTTTGAGGACATGGACGTTGGAGAGAGTATCACATCCAAAGCCACTGCCAACGGCAACACTACGGTGACTCATACGAGACAAGGGGAGAATTCAACGTCAAGTTCTTCCGGAATTGCTACCTCTAACACTTCAATCCTGGAGACGACTGAGGTGGTTCATACGAGATCGAAGGAGCCATCGTTAGCTATTTCTGTTAATGTTCCCTCTGCGAAGATGCAAGTAACTAATACCGCAAAAGAACTTGTAAGCAGTCGGAAAAAAATGCCTAAAAAACTGGACAGCTTGATAAACTCAGCTGTGGCGGCAACTTCATTTGAAGAAAACTTGCATAAGAAGTTGGACGTAAAAACAAGTTACTATGAACGCAAATGCGTCAAAGCTTTGCAATCAATCGCTAAATCCCTCAAAAAGTTAGTCAGTAATAGACCACGCTAAATTTTGTACTGTTAGTTTTAATTGTAAAGAGATTAATTTTGGTTTGTTTCATCAATAATAAACATTACAAAAAGTTTTTTCAATGTTTTATTAGTGGCGTTGGCCTCGATCTAATGTCGCAACCAACCGCCGCCGCGCGCGTTGTCCTTCAGCTAACTCGGGGTTGATGCGTCTTGCCACATGTTCTTCCACATCCTCTCTTACAGCATCTATTATGTCGACATCCACGTCTGCGAGATCGGCGTCATCAGGCTCAGGAACATTATACTCTATACACATATTATGTAACACTATACAGGCGTTGATGATTCGACACGCTACATCAGGTGTATAGTGCAACACCCGATGCTTTAGTAAGCATCGAAAGCGCGCCTTCAGCACTCCGTTACAACACTCTATTTTCACTCGAGTTTGTTTGTGTGTTGCATTGTACTGGCGTTGCGGCGCAGTCAGTTCCTCGTCAGTAAACGGCGTCAACAGCCAAGGACGCAGGGGATATCCTGAGTCACCTACAAAAGCGTTGCCACTAAAACTACTACAGCTCTACCCAAATGCGAATAAACACACCTAAGAGGAAATAGTCCGTATGTCCGGCTAAATGTATTTGTCTTAACGTAGTTTGTAAGTTCGATTGATTCCAAATGAAAGCATCATTACTGTTCCCGGGGTACCGCGCAGAGGCATTGATAATTCTTAAGTCCGCATCACACACCTATAAGTATATTGGTTATAAGACACATCTTTTGTTAAGTATGAGTCCGTTTTCACCAATTGAACATTTATGGAATGATATTTCTTCCTATTCACATACACATGCTCCGGGAAATTGGGATCGTTAGCGGCTGGGGGCACAATGGCCACATGAGTGCAATCTATACAACCGACGACCCCAGGAATGCCATGTAGATCATAGAATCTGCAACGATAAAATTTCAACTTATAGTTTCAGCGACCTTGAACAAAACAAATTGACAAAACTTTTTGTACTAACATACCTTTGTCGGATGGTATTGAGTTCCCGATAATTTTGGGGGAACTTCACCCATTCATTGAACACCTCTGGCTGTAATAATGCGTTGGTAACTTCCTTTAAGCACCTACCAACCGTGGACTGGCACACGTCAACATATTTATTACCGCCGATATCAGGTTGATAGCTACCGCTTGCGAAAAATTTCAACGCAATTAGGACCTATGAGTAGTATCGAATTAAACTTACTGTAACAAATATTGCAAAACAACCTTAAAGATAACATGTATTGCCTACCTTATTCAATACATCTAGATCTGTTGGTCGTTGTGCCGGACGTATATAAGGTTCTAAACATACAACTAAATATCTCAAAAGCTCTTTCGACAATCGAAACATATTAATAAACTGTCTTTGGTTTAGCTCAACGAATGGATCACGGGGGTTATGTCGATGGTTGCGTCGATTTCGTATCTCTGCATTTTCCAAATTACGAATTGCCAGCACATTCATCAAGTTTTCCATATTAGTAAATTCACAATGATCCAATCACAGATTGATCCAATAATAAAATCGCTTTCAAACAAACTGACAAACACTTGACACAACAAAAACGTATACGCAAACAGAATAAGGCGACTAAAATACCGCTCGCAGAAAAGCGAATGAAAATATGCGCTTTCTTGCGTATACGAAACTTTGCGAACGGCCAAAAATTAGAACTTGTGGCTGTTCGCACATTTAAGAACGATCTACATACGTTTCTATATTTGCGTAGGGTCAAAAATTGACCACCTGTCATTTACGCTATTTCATTGGTCTCAAAATAATGTCACATTTTGACAGTTGTCAAATTAACCCTTTCGGGTTAACTGGCAGAAAACGAAATCCGTCATTTTCTGTTTTTCGCCAATATTTCCAACTCTAATTGACCTTTTGTTTGGACGCCATATTGCGGTGCGCGAACATAATTGCCAAAAGTAGAAAAAAAAAATTACTATCATTCTGTCAACATTAAAAACAAAAGTTACTGAATAAATTACATATAAAATTTAAAATTGCCGCCTATTAGGCAATAATCTCAATCACGTGATTTTATAATGGCCGTTCGGGTCAAATATTGCAGTGACAAGCCGGTGACGTTTATAAGGAGAGCATTTGTGTTCTGGCCCTTGTTGCTTTCGAAGTGAATTTTATGTATTTCTACGTATTTTCCATTGGTTTTGGTCATATTGTTGTTTTCATAGTGAATTTTATAGTTTTTAGTATGTCTACGTATTTTTTAGTGTTCTGGTCCTTGTTTACAAAGTGAATTTTATAGTGTTTATAATGTTTCTACGTTTTTTTTTAATTTAATAATAAATTCTGAGATGGAGAGTGAATATCTTAAGGTATTATTAAGGGAAAATCGAGCCTCTGTTAAATCCTTTCTTTTAATTGCAGCAGTCCATAAAGCCCTGCGTTGTTTTGATAATTCACTTTTGTAGATCAAAAGCCGATGATTTAAAATGGCAGGAACTGAATAAAATTTCACATAAGCCCTGTTACCTCAACTTCCACACCCAATTACGATGCAAATTGCTGGCATTTCAATTAACACAATACCTAAACACACAAAAAAACACAAAATCCGATAAATTAAATCTTGACGTTTGTCCAGATTGTGACAGAATCAATGACATATAGAATAAACAACACAGTGCTTGACCCGAACTTCCATATTGAATTTCGTTTTTGACAGGTCAGTAGATTGCCTAATTGACCTTTTGTTTGGACGCCATATTGCGGTGCGCGAACATAGTTGCCAACAGTAGAATAAAAAAATACTAGCGTTCTGTCAACTTTAAAATCCAAACTTAGTGAATAAATTACATTTAAAATTTAAATTTGCCGCCTATTACGAAAGTTTTTAGAAAGAAAAGCCATCAATTTTAGCTTGTATTGGGCAGAATAGAAATAATAAAATATCTAGTTGACAGCCCGCTAGTAATTTTTGGTTTTCTTGTTTTGGCAACTATGTTCGCGCACCGCAATATGGCGTCGAAACAAAAGGTCAATTACGAATGTTTTTGATAAGAAAAGCCATCAACTTTAGCTTGTATTGGGCCAAGTTCAGAAATAACGCATAGGGTGCGATGCGATTTTATGGGTGTACCTAAATTGACAATTGGCCATTGGGCCCATAGCACCGTCTAGCATTTTTGAACAGCTAGGACGTTGCACCGGTGTCACACTCACACTGGGTGTGTCATTCCTGAACTCGCTCTTGTGTTGTAATGTTGATAGCCCGCTAGTAATTTTTGTTTTCTTCTTTTGGCAACTATGTTCGCGCACCGCAATATGGCGTCCAAACAAAAGGTCAATTGATCGTTATTCTGAAGCCGATTATCGAATGCACTTAGCTTCCTCTAAAACTTCTTCCATTTTTAACCCTTGCTGTAGGTATAATAGTAGCCGAGATCCCTGTACCTATAGAGAAGCGAATCTGGGACACACTGTATATATTACAGATGCGTTTACTGGGATAAGTTTTCGCTTATATTATTGCGATATTTCCAAAACTGGAAATTTTATAGGCAATAAATCAAGGATTTAACGATACAAAAAATAATGTTGAGTGATTTTAGAAAATCCTCTAACAAACTTGCATTTCAAGTATAATTATTCAATTAAGGAGGCACTAAAACAAAAAAGAGCCATTAAAAATCAAACAGGACGCATTTGCTTGATAACCTGCCAACAAACTAGGAAAAAGAAACTTCCGCCCAGACACTACACAAGCCATCCTGTATGTGTGTCCAAAAATAATTTTTAAAGGAAAATTTAGATTCAGTCAAAAGTGAGCGCTCTTCTTGGAAAGAACTTCTTATTTATTGTTTACGAGGACAAAAATAAAGAAAATTTGAATTCTCAACCATAAGAAGAAACTTCATAATTATTTCAAGACAAAAATTAAAGTTTGGCAACAAGCAAAAAAATGTTCAAATCGTTCCGGTTGCCTTGGAAACACCACAACAAAACAAAACAAGCTGCAATGACGACCGCACATCAACGTCCGATAATGGATCAAGGTAAATTGTCAATTATTTAATTTTGTCAATATAAATTTAATAACAATTTAAGTTAATTTAGGCTCTAAACTGTAGTATTTTATAAGTTAGAAATGTTTAAAGTTGCTTAATATTGCTTGAAACTCGAAAAAATGTATCAGATGGTGCTGCATATGTGTGGCGAAAATATATTAAGTTGGTGGGTTTAGATTCTAAATTTAAATGAAAGACGATATTATAGCGGAAGCGAATTTTGAATTTTAATTAACAGTTTTGTTAAATGTTTGTAGTAACAATACAAGGAAGAATAATTAGGTGTATGGGGAAAATATAATGACAAACAAATTTCTATATTAATGAAATAGATGAAGATAATGATAGAAATGTAGGAAATAAATGATAGGTATCTCATAATATAAATCCAAATAACAAAAACTATATGAAATTGAACAAAAATTTACTATAATGATACAATTTAATTGTTATGCTGGTTTTCATTTTCAGCACTAACTTATTAACACATTTAGGGGGGGGTAACCATTCCAAATGGAACAGGGGGTATAGTGATACCTGTTTTGAAAGAGTGTTCAATTTCCTTTAAAATGACATCAAATAAAAGAGAATTGAACACGTATATAAACGCGAGCTTATACCTACTCGAGTTTATACTAAAAACTTGGAAGTTTCAAATCTTCCTTACTAAGAAGTTCAGATGTTGCATGTTAATTTTTAACAAAACACGATAAAACTGAGATAAGTGACATTGGGTACATTCAGGCGGTCCCAGCCGCTAAGCTCAGCCACTCAGCGGGAACTTTCTTCTCGAAACCAACGCACAGCGTTCTCATAAGAACGATTGCTCTGTCATTGTCAGTGTTATGCCGGACGACAAAGACAGAACCTTCATTCCAATGAGAACGCTGCTCTCCTGTGTCAAGAATAAAGTTCCTGCTGAGTGGCTGAGCTTAGCCGCTGGGACCGCCTGAATGTACCCATTGATTTAATTTAAGACCCGATGATAAAAAATATGCTTAGGAGAAAATCAACCTAAAATTAACAATTACTGACTATTCCAGCCTCTTAAATTTTGGTTTTGTCTGAAATTTGAATATGTTGTTCTCCTAGAAAACCGCCTAAACATTCTAAACAAAAATTATCATTGGCACAAAAAAATCCAACGAGCCATTTTCGAGTTATGGTAAGTTAAAAGATATCAATTACAAGAGCACTTCACATTTTCCTCACTTTATAAAAATATTGACATGCCATTGACGGTCTTAAGCTTAAAAGGCCTCTATATGCATTATCGATTAGAGGTCTGTTCCCACAGGAGTCTCTGACAGTTTGCAAACTGTCGGTAAGCATCGCCCATGCATGTTTTCAATGCTGTGGTTACAAGATAAAACTGTAACTCAGCTGAGCGATTGTTTCTGACAGTTTGCAAACTGTCAGAGACTCCTGTGGGAACAGACCTGGTCGCGTAGCCAACTCGCGCGACCAATAAATGGTTAGTGTTTTTATACCTGTTTTTATCATAGACTATCATTTTAACCAGATTTATAATATCAATATTATCTAAGTTGCTGCCTAATTGAAATCAGGGCCGCAACTAGAACCCTCGGCGCCCAAGGCAAGTCCAAATTTTGGCGCCCCTCCGCCGCGTTCTCAAAAAGGACCGCTAGAACTGGTTCAGAAACGGTTCCGAACCGACTCCTGGTTGATCCCCGAATCCAGAACCGTAACTAAAAGTTCGGAATTTTGTGATCCGCGAAATAGTTTGGAACCAGTTCAGAATCCTTCCGCGAACGAAGCTATTGTAATAGTAAAAGCTATTTACGGAAACTATGATCGGGTTAACCTGATCGCTAGCAGATGTATTTTGTCTTTTTTCAATCCCATTTCCGACTGATTATTCTAATGATGATTGGACCCCATGACTGTGCTTACTCCTTTTATTTTCTAGCCCACGAGTACATTCTTTGGTGATGTCATGCAAGAGCTTTAATTTTTCAACGTTTTCGGTGGAGAGGTTTAGGAGGTCTAATAACTTGTCTATCAGTTTCGAGACTAATAGTCGTTTGTTTTCATATCTATTCTGAAGCAAGTCCCATGCTGTCTCGTAATAATTTTCAGTGGTTGTCAGATGCTGAATGAGTCTTGCAGCTTCTCCTTGAACATGTGTTTTGAGTAGTTGTATCTGCCTTGGAAAAATGTATGTTGTCGTGGACTACTCGCAAAAAAAACATCATGGAAAGAGCCCCAGTTCTCGTAGCCTCCGTGAAATGTTGGAATGGTTATTTGTGGTGACGCAAGATGTTTTACAGACCAGATTGATTGGGTCTGTGGTAATTGCGGCTGACATGAAGCTTGTGCCTCGTTCGTTTCCGTTAATAATTTTTCCAACGTGTCTTCATAAAGTTCATACTTCATCTGATACTCATGAAATTTATCATCTCTGAAGTAGGCACTGGTGAATGATTATTCATGAATTATTATGTCTTCGTGCAATTCTTGAATGGTTGTTTTACCAGCTTTTTCTGTTGTAATTCATACCTTATTCTTGATTTTGATTCAGTTAGATCTTGGTTGATTTGGTCGATTGTTCTATCCAATTCCTCACACTTAAGATTTTGTTCCTTCAAAAGTAAGACTTGTGGACTATTTTGTAATTCATCATTGATCGTTTCAAGGTACTTCTAGCAAGTCTCATACCTCTCTTTTATTTGTTGCAGGTGTTTTTTCAGTAAAGTAGGCGTGGTTTAGTTCATGATCATTTTCTTTAACTGCATCCCATAGTTCTTTCTAGCGTTCCAAGTTTTTGTTCTACATACTGTTCAGTTTTCTTTTCTTTTTGCTTAGTTTTCCTTACTGAGCAGCACCTAAGATCATTTCTTCCGGCATTGTTCTGTTGATCTTGCAATGGGCTTAGTTGGACCTCTGGAACCGCTATTGGTGGGAGCTCTGGGAATGTGATTGACCGCTGTTGGGCCTGGTTGAACTTCTGGAACCGCTGTTGGTGGGACCTCTGGGAGTCGGTTGATACCTGCTTGGTTTGGTTGGAACTCTGGGACCACTCTTGGTGGGACCTCTGGTAATCTGGTTGATGGTTACTTGGTTTTGTTGGACCTCTGGACCGCTGTTGGTGGGACCTGTGAGACTCTGGTTGATGGACCTCTGGATCGCTACTGATAGGACTCTGGTTGATGGCTGCTTAGTCTGGTTGTAAGTTACCTATCTTACAGCATAGTGCAAGTGCCGTGACTTAAGTCCTGATGTCTGGTACTAAGGCCCTTCTGCTCTTTCATCCTAAACCATCAGGATTAAGCAGAAGAGGGGGGATTTGTTACACACAGGCCTTATGAGGATAGGCCATCCTGTAGTATTAGTATGTTTCATCCTTGATTTGCTGCAGCCTCTTGCACACGTACTATGTTTGACATAATTTACATGATTACTATCGATATTCGTATGGTTGATAAAGAGAGATATAACACAAGCAAAATAAATTTTCGTGTTACGACAAATGACGCGTAAAACCGTTGCATTTTTTTGGATTGTAAAATATGGATGGATTAAATTAGGCGCCTTCGGCGCCCCGATACTCCGGCGCCCTAGGCGGGCGCCTAGTTCGCCACCCCCTAGTTGCGGCCCTGATTGAAATTATATAATTTTAGTAGGTATAGGTACCTTCTTAAAAATCATCATCATAGGCATTCACTCGCTATATATAATTATCGGTTTATAACGTTCTACGTCTTCCGATTCCCGATCTCCAACCATCTCTGTCAATCCAGGCATCCTCTTCTAGGCCTCTGTCCTTCAATTCCTCGTCTACACCACTTCTCCAGCTTCTTCTTGGTCTGCCGCGTCTTCTTCTTCCCCCTGGCTTCCACTCAATAATTTGCTTGGGTATTCTTGTATCTGCCATTCTTTGTACCTGTCCGAACCAAATTAGCTGTTTGTCCTTTATATCATCTACTATTGTGTGTTTTACGTCCATAATCTCCCTTATTCTCAGATTTGTTATCCTTTCCATCTTTGACCTGCCTGCGGATCTCCTTCAAAAGTCCATTTCAATTGCTTCCAGAACTTTTGCGGTTCTGTTCTTTAATGGCCAGACTTCTGAGCTATATGTGACTATGCTTTTGACTATGGTGTTGTATATTCTAGTTTTGTTAGCTTTGTTGATATTTTGGTCCCACAGTACACCATTTAGTAGGGATATTGCCTTGCGCCCCTGTATATTCCGGTCTTTAATTGCTTCATCTAGGATTCCCTCACGTGAGATTTTCATGCCTAAATATTTGTATTCAGTACATCGTTTTATTTCTTGTCCGTTATTCAATTTCAGAGTTTGCTGTTCACCTCCTATATAGTCATATATTCTGTTTTAGTTAGATTTACTTCCAAACCCCATTTCTCGTATTCCTCTATCAGTTTTCGTGTCATGTACTCTAGGTCATCATAGTCCTGTGCAATTACTACTTGATCATCTGCAAAGCTTAAAGTATATAGATTGTATTCATTGAGCGGTATTCCCATGTGTCTGCATTTGTTTTTCCACCCCTTAAGCGCTTGCTCTAAGTATATTTTAAAAAGCGTCGGTGATATGCAACATCCCTGTTTAAGTCCTTTAGTTGCTATAAAGCCTTTACTGATCATGTTTTCCTGTTTAATCTTGATCTTTGCATCACTATAGAGGGTTTTTACTGCCTTTATTAGTTCTAAATTGATATTGGTTTTTTCCAGTTCTTCCCAGAGCTTTTTCAGCGGAACATTGTCATATGCTTTCTTTAGATCTACAAAAAGTAAATGGAGTTCTTGGTTATACGCTAGTTTCTTTTCCAGGGCCGCAACTAGAACCCTCGGCGCCCAAGGCAAGCCCAAATTTTGGCGCCCCTTCACTGCCTTCTCAAAAGTAACAATAGATAAAAAAAAAACAGACTTTATATTTTTTGATACTTTGGCTCTCCACGGGCCTTCCTAGCTCGTGCCAAAAAATGCGCACTGAGTGCATACAT